TCAGTTACAAAACTTTAGTTAGTTTTAAACCAGAGTCCCTGATGCCTATCTAAGCCACTTTGGGGAAATCACAGGTTGGCAGGGACCACTGGGTCCATCTGGCCCAGACCCCGCTGCAGCAGAAACAACCAACACAGGGGGCCCAGATCACATCCAGGTGGTTAATGGAGGTCTCCAAGAAAGAGACTCTGCAACTTCTGGACAACCTGCATCAGTTCTCTATCACCTGCACAGCACAAAAGTGCTTTCCAGTGTTCAGAGTTAGCCTCCTGTGTTCCAATTTGTGTACACTGCTTCTTGTCTTAGAACCCTTTACAACCTTCCTTCAGATATTTACGTTTATTTCCCTTGCACCTGGAGAGGAACTCAGTGGTCAAATTAAACATTTATCCTGTGTATGGTTCTTGACTTCTGATGGGGAAAGAGTGAAAAAATCATGAAAAATTCTTTCCTATACATTAAAACATGCCTATTCTTCCAGTAAGTCTTGTAACTAATACAGTGTAAGCTTTCTTTTGAAGATCTTCGGTACAGCCATAGGAATTCCTCTTGAGAATCCAGTAAATTACAAAATACACAGTTGAGAGCCAAATGTACCCTTTTCCAAATCACCCCTCCTAAACAAGAAAGGAAGGCATGAGAATTAATGTTCAGAAGAGTTAACAAAAAGATAATTTACATTTATTTCTCTCACCAATGAACTTTCTAATATTTTTGAAAATGAATGATTAATAGAAATAAAATAGCTTCCAGTCACTTCCAGTGAGACCTCTCTAAATGCTTCTTTCTTTGATGAAAACAATAGTGTCATGCAGCAAAAAAGAAACCATTGTTTCCCGAATTTTTAAGTAAATATGCAAACTAAATAATTGTGGAGTTTAAGAATTGTACTCAAAAAATTACTTATTTTCTCAGTAGATGTGTTTACAGGCACATATCCCAAAGCTTATGAAAACAAAGGGAAAAGGCAATAAGCCATCCTGGAGATCCAAAAGGAAATGGGACAGACAGCTGGAGCATCTCGATGCTATGCTCATATTTACAGGCTGTTAATCTCCTCTTCTTCAGCAATATCATGGCAGATGTTCATGAAATACAAAGAAGGTTTTTTAACAAAGACTACGGTAACTCATTTGAGAATATTTGTATAGACCAAAAATTAAATACTGCATGGCTATATAGTTTTTGCCAGCACAACAGCCAACTCTTACTATGCAGGAAAAGATGATGTGAGATATCTTCAAGAGTGACCAGAACTGTGCATGCCTCAAGGTTATGGTGCCTAGAAGCTCCTATAAGATCAAAGATAACTTTTGCATTCTGCAATTAACTGGAGCATTGAGGAACAGGTCCCTTAGAAAATCTAGCACTTAAAATTATGAATCTTATAAGAAACTGTGATTTACAGACTCAGATGATACAATAAGCTGTGTTGGCCTATGATCCATAGCTTAACTCAGCCAATAAAAAGATTCCTGTTGAATTAATTGAATTTTTTACTAATCCCCATAGAATATCCCCTAATGTATGAAAATATCTAGGAAGTTCCTTAAACAGAAATCAGCTATGATGAGTTGCTTCTCTAGTCATCTTGTGACTTGTCATTTAGTTTTCTAACCTTTTTTTTTCCACTGATCATATAGAAATGGTAAAAATCTGACAGTTTGACAGCTGAAAAACAAGAGGCACAAATCAAAAACCCTAAAATCTTGAAGCTGCCAAAAATTATACAGTTTTATAAACACCCTGAATGGAATATTCCCTAAATTCGTTTGACAGCTGTTGTTCCTGACCACAGACCAATTTTCACAGAAGTATTTGAATATACAGTGGGTCAAATAAGTCTAAACAAGTCAGGACTGGTTTAGTAAAAGAAAAGACAACATGGATATAACTGGACAGAAGGGCACAGCATTGACTTCTGATATCTCCTCCCCAGCTTCATCATAGCAGAAGAAAGACAGAGAGGATAGCTAACTTCATTGTTCAGTCTAAGGAGGATGGAATGGAATGGAATGGAATGGAATGGAATGGAATGGAATGGAATGGAATGGAATGGAGAAGATAGGATAGGATAGGATAGGATAGGATAGGATAGGATAGGATAGGATAGGATAGGATAGGATAGCTCAGCTATGTTATCAACAGGAACCTCCCTTGGCATGCAGGATGAGAACGAAGTTTGATTTTTCCTTTCTTGATGTTTTCCAGGAGAGGCATGCTGCAGAGGTGCGTAGAAACAAGGAGCTCCAGGTGGAACTGTCTGGCTGAGAACGGCAATGGTGGATGTGACCCATCCCCACCATTAGTAAACTCCCCCTGCCTATATTATTATGGATCATGCGATATCAGTATGGGAAATGTATGACATGGTTTAAAAAAAAAAAAAAAATGAAGAACTCAATAAAAACTTTAAAAAAAGAAACAAAAAATAAAACAAAATCAATGCGGTCTCTTTGCAGAATGATTTGCTTGATGTTTAAAAAACTTGGATCTTATTTTGTAAATACTTACATTTTTGTTAAAAAATACAAGTATTGCATTATGCAAGTTATTTCATAATCTTACATGTCCTGTAACAGGCTTCTGATGTTGTCTATTTCCACTCAATTGAATTTGCTGGATCTGTCCATTTGAAGCACCTCATGTCTAACTCCATTCCCTGCGACTTTCATTCCAACTCACCACGAGGTCAGTAGTAGTTCTATGGTGCTAGAGACCAGTCATTGCCTAACAACCTAGGCTGCTTTGCCATCAACGAGCTTTGTTGAAACAGTGACTAGATCACAGGTGTCGTGACTTCACATTCAGCTGTCCAAGACAAGAGACTCTTAAAATATAGTTTCTTCAAATGCAACTCGCGCTACAGGACTCTGTAGCATGCTGTATAACTGAAGTTAAATCACCATGTGCACTACTTGGTGCTTCTGCTTTCTGAAGCAAGAGGCAACAAATAACAGCTTTGCAACTGAATGAAAGCAAGTGGTATCAGTTTGAAATGAATTTAAAAGGCACATTGTAACCATCAAGCTATGACAAATTCTAAATGATGCCAAACAGCCATACAAGTGCTAATTGTAAAGTGAGCTTAATCTACCACTTGAAAATTTATTAATGAAGCAACTAATAGATAGCATCAAGTGGCTTTATTTGTAGTGCCATGATCTATGATACTTCTCTGATGCTGCTGTAGTACATGTGTAACAAACATTAAAAGAGGCAATCAAATATTTCACTGGGAACCCGTGAACCAGATGTTACCTTTTTTTTTTTTTTCTCACACTGCTGACTTCCATTTGTCTTGACCTTTATTCTTCAGTGTTAGCCAACCCTAGAGACGGACAGCTAGGACTGAATGATCTTGGAGGTCTTTTCCAACCTTGGTGATTCTATGATTCTATGACTAAGAGGGCTGAAGCAGGAATGACTAGACAGGGTGCTTGTGCCAAGTACAGTATCATGAAACCTAACACATCGTCCCCAAAATAGCTGCAGTTTTGAAGTTGTCCCTGCCCCCTCCCCTCCCCCCCCCCAGAGGTTGCTGCCTGCATATTCTACTCTTCATTAGTGCTATTTTCCTGTATGTCATTGTGAGCAAGCTGTGATTAATAAAGAATTGGGGTTCTGTGAACTGAAAAAGGGCTTGTCTCTTCTCTCGCTCCATTACTTCTGGCATGTGCCTGTATGAGGCGAAAGCCTAACAAAGTCATAAAAGCATGGAAATGAGATTTAAATAAGGCCTATTAATAAATCAAGTTTATTTCTCCGCTAATGCAGGTCTAGCTCCTGCTAGACCTTAGGCTGGTTATTTTTAAAGATTACCATATAAACTGAACCTATGCACATGACTCTAGCATTAAGTTATTACAAAAGAAATTGGTGCACCCCTTAGCCTGACTCAGTACTGAAAAAAAAATGGGATTTCAAGAAAGAGAAGTAAATGAAGTTGTCCTGGGCACATACATCCATAACTGCATTAAGATTCTGGGTACTAGCACGCTGACTCTCAGGGTAAAAGGAGTTCATGTATCAGATTCACTGAAAAACATAAAATAGACCTGCTGTGCTGCAGAGATGAGATATAAAACTGGATCTGGCTCCATTTACAGCATCTAGAGAGTTAATCAAAAATTACCTTCAGCATTAGTTTTCTGATTTAAAATCATGCAAGTGCTGTCAATTGCTCTTTTGGAGAGATGAGCCAGAAGCTCCAGATCTGCAACAGTTGGTTTCTGACCCATGCAGGCTGTATTATTTTGGAGCCAAGTTATGTCCCTGGAAGACTTGGCCCTTGGTCAAAAAGCTGTAGGAACTCATCCACTCACAATGCTGCAAGGTCAGCCCTGCGCTCAAGGAACTCTGTGGGAGCAGCAGTCCAACTTGTAACAGCAAGTTGGTTTTGCAGCCTAAATTACTTGTCTTTCAGGCAGAATTAATAGGAGTAAACCTGGCAGAGAAGTCAAACAGTAAACTTTGAAACTGGATGTCAAGCTCCAGCATTGCCAAGTCTTCAAACTTTGTGTTTTTCTTCAAGCCCTAGTGAAAAGGTCTCTCAGTCAAGCTTATATTTGGCTTTAAGGTTCAGTATCTTGATTTGAGGTCTCTTGGAAAGTGGTTTAATTTCCTAATGGCAAGTTACATACTGAGTTCTTCCTGACCTCTGACTCAACAAGACCCCGTTGTGTTCCAGACCCTATTTTGCTTTCTTTGCATAGCTAGCAGGGCAACAAGCCAAGGACAAACCTGTGGTGCAGAACCCAAGCAGGGCTGTCTGCCTTGTTTCCTTGGGACAAGCCTCTTTTCCCCCACAAAGGTGTCCATGTCCAGGAGGGCCCACAGCACACGCCATCCCCAGAACTAGACCTGGGCCTGGGTATTAAAACTGCACCAGAGAATTAATGAAGAAGGCAGTCTGTCCTCTGCAGGCCACTGTCAGGACCAAACCTTTGGGTTTGCCATAGGATACATATGCACACACGCACACAGCATGAAGCACCTACCTTATCCAAGTTTTCAAATCCCATCACGTCGAACACGATGCTCTTACCAGGTTTTGGGTGGAGGAAAAGAGGATGGGAAGAGGTAGGACCTGCTCCCACATTGCAGTACGTGCCCTGTTCTGAGCTGTTCATACAGCAGGGGGCTGTAGACACCGAGTGGAAGAACTAGAGATGCTTTCCTGCACTCTCGGCTGGTGCTGCAGCGACACTGGTGCAACAGTGCCATGCAGTGGTCAGTTTTAAGAACGGGGATAACCTGAGTACACGGGATTGCGCAGATCTCTCTGGAGGGTATTCAGCTCGTCTGCCTCACAGTTCACACTAGGTCTTAAAACAAGGTTTTCTTAGTTTCAGCTGGGAGTTGTTTTCTTCCGAGTGTCTGATATGCTTGCTTTTCTCCTAGAACCAAAACACAGCATCATACCAGATGGCTCTGAGGAAAACAATTCTGTCCCACATTAAACTAAGATGAAGGTAAATGGTAGCTCTGAAATCTGAAGATCCCAGACCTTCCCAGATTTAATGGTGTAAATTAACGTGTGGCACAACCATGGGTGGCACAACCATGTAAAGCCAAAAAGGTCTTGGCATATTGGTGTGGAGTGAGGAGTAGCCTGAATACAGACATTACAACAGAAACTTGTGACTGTCAGAATACTTAATTCTTCGCGACTTCATACATGTCTAGGAAGAAATGGGTAACATTCAACAACCATCCCAGATGAGAGTCATAGGAGATGATATAAAGTAACCTCTGAAATACAGGGAACAACAAGTAAAGCCGGCATCAAAAGCCCACATGAATTAGAGGTGGAGTGACCCATGGAACAGCTCTGACATTTGAAATGACTGGTCATCCTTAGAACTGTCACCATTCAGAAATACTGAACTCTTTTTCTCCCTCTACAAATACTGAGAACCAGGACAGAAGATGGAGAAGCCTAAAATCCAGCCTACAGTACACATAAAGGCAACTCAAGGCTCTGTGAGCTGTAGAAACAAGAGTCTGCAGTGGACTCCCCATGGATAAGGAAGATACCTGATGTACAAGAAAATGCCTATGCTTTGGGTATTCAGTAGTATCTGAGCTTTAAAACTTCCTCTGGGAAAAATAATGGTAAATTCTTCAAACGTCCACAATAAACGTAGGCAGGCATATGTTTGATAGTTTACTTGGGCAAACTTTCACTCCATCAAGCCAGCAGCATGATGCCAGCTTACCTTTCCAACCACTACATGGATGCTGAAAACATCTTCCTACTGTGACATGTTGGCTTTGGTCAAATGGGTCCCAGGAAAGGAAGCTCCTGAGCAGCTCCTGAAGATGATGTATGGGAAAAACATTATCCCAGATACAACCCAGGTAACATCTAACATGGTGTAAGGAAACAGCTGAGGAAGGAAACAATTTCAATTTTTCTCATCTGTTCCTGTTGCAAGAGATTTTTAAACAAACTTTGGAATGTGACTGTTCCATAACAAAATATGTTTTAAAAAAATAATAATAACTTATCAAATATCCAATTTGCTAAATAGCCTTTTATATGACAATTTCCATAAAATCCACAAGCTCATGAAAATTCTCCTGTACAACTATTTGTGACCGAAAGAGGGCAAACTCCGATTATTTTAACACGTAACAATGTGCAGAGACTTTTGTTCTGAGACACTTTTCTAGCTGTGTGATATCCTGCAACCCTGCTTTAGAGCATCATAAAGACTGATGCAATATTATTTGTACTGAAATCTGAATTTGAGTATATGTGTTTAGAATGAAATGGAAACAGAACAGAATAGAACAGAACAGAATGGAATGGAATAGAGTGATATACGTAACATAAAAATGCTGTATATAATATAAACATCTTTTACGTGTAACATCAACTTCTTTACAACTGAATTTGGAGAGGCCTGGTAAAGGATTACAGAGAGGTGACCAGATTCATCATGCACTGTGTTTTACGTATCACCCTTTGCAACTGATGAAAAAGTGATGGATTACAATGTCATACAAACAGCTTTCAGTCAACAGTGATCCAATTACCTGAATGCCTACCTGCTGTAGGTATTACCTCGGGAGCAGTGCCAGATAAATGCAAGTCTTCTGCCTCCAGGGGTAGGTTTGGGAGCAGCATAGTTGCTTGCTCACAGAACAGCCTGCGTGTGAATGAACTGTTTCTGCTAGGCTTTGGATGTCCTTAATAAGGAGCCAGCTCAAGTCTTTGTGCTGTGCTCCCAGGAGCTGTTATCAGTGCTGGAGAGGGCTTGATTCAGCCCATGACAGTGTGTCAGCTCAAGTCCATGTACCCATGCACTCAGCTACGTCCTGCAGCACAGCTGCAGTAGAAGGAGAGTACATCTCCTGGGTGGTGCAGGGGAGGACAAGGCTGTCATACGCCAGCTGCCACTGGGACACAGCAGGAAAAGGGGCCACAGTAGCCAAGCTGGGGTCCGGAGAGCAAAATTGGGTGTGCTACTTCTGCTTTGAGCTCAAAATAATTCCTGAAGGCAGGCAGGCAGGCAGACATGGGCTACTGGCACCATTTGGCCTCCATGTTGAGACATGTTTAATGCTCGTAGTGTAGCAAGCAGACTTGGCTACAGAAAGGCCTTTGCATCGCCTAAGGCATCTGCTGGCCCTTGCAGCCCGTGTGCGAGGGTGGATCCAAACAGCCTTGAGCTCCCTGGCGTGGGCTCAGAGCTGGCTGAGCTCAGCCAGCTTCACATATAGAAGCTCCCCGCTGGGAGTCCCAGGGCACGCCGGAACAAGCACTCAGCTGCCGTAATGCAGCTTCATGGGCTCTGCTCCGTCCGCACGGAGGGCAGGCAGAGCCACCACAGCAGCACAGGTGGAGCCAAGGCAACACCTTATCCTGGCACCAAACTCTGACTCTTTTTTCCCAAAGCAGCAGACAGGTTGTCCCTCTGGTCACAGCTTCTACTTGGTCACAGCTAGTGGACAGTGACAGATACCCACAGGTGACTCTGAAGACAGGGCAAGCTCATGGCAGCACTTCCCAGCCTCCAGCACCTCAGTATGCACCTCTGAAGCTGCCTGAGTAAGAGCTGCATAGTATCAGTGTAGTATTTAGCATCCCTGATGGGTGTTTTCTTTTATTGATATGTCTGAGGCCTGTGCAAAGTTCTGGTATCTGTAACAACCCATGAATGTGAGCCACACAGGTGCACAGGTGTTTGATTTCACATGATAATGCTGTCTGCTATCTGCTTCATCTTCAAGAAGCAGTTCTTTTCTTTTAGTTCTTTTTTTTTTTTTTTTTAAAGGAGAAGTAAATGGAAAACTTTGAGATTGTTATAATGGAGGGAAAACTGCCCTGTCCTGTAACACACATGTGACTAACATGCAGTCAGATACTATTTTATATGCAGTCTTCATCTGATTCTCCTGGCAAAGAGAACAAGGCAAGAAGTTTCTAAAACAAAGATAATTGCTTCCCAGAGGAATAAAGCATATAGGTGTAGTCTGTATCTCTCTCTTTTTCCCACCACATTTCAGACTATTTTTAATGGGCTTAAAGGCAGGACAAAAGCTACAAATTAGGCAAGTATTTCAGCATGGTAAAGAGCTCCATCTGCATTCTGTATCCCTGAAGTCCTACACTCAGCACAGTGCTGTCAGTAGTAACTGCATGATGTGCAGATCTGAAGCGTATACAAAAATGAATGATTAAAAAAGAAGCACACTGTGTTTCGGAGCACAATGCTGATGCAGTATTGAGCTTTCCTTCCCTTTGTGGCAGAAATCAAACAGAAATACCACAACATCAAATCCGAGAGGAGCAAAACCCATAAACTTAATCTTTCTCTGTTTGTGTAACATGGGAAAACACTGTCTCTCTCCTTATTCTGCTCAGTGATTTATTCATTATTCTGGTGTTAAAGATGACTTATTTAATTTCTGGTAGTATTATGTTAGAAGCTGTAGTTGACTGAAAGCACAGAAAAGCATTGCGTTAGAAAAAAGGCTTAAAACTTGCTTTCACATCTTTGCATTACTATGAAGCCAGTAACGTTCTTTTAGTGAGCACTGCATTTACAGCAGTCTTAAAGCAACAGAAATGAAGTATGAAATTATATCTATTATAATTGGCCAGATAAGTACTGGCTGAAAATACAGCTACAAGTAGCTAGAGCAGTTGCAGTTTTACGCAGATGCTAAGACTATGAATTTGAGATATCAGAAATGCCTAGAGAAGATCTATAGCAACTCATCACTTCCACAGAACTACGTAAGACCCATGAATCTTACCATCCTAAGGGCAATTTCTGAGAAAATGCCTGCAGAGGGAGATAAATCATACCAATGAAGCAATAGGCTTTGGAAATACGAAGGCAAATGTCTATGTGGGTTATTTCATGAATATTCATGTTATTCATTGCATTGCATGAGGTACCTGCTACATGTCAACTGAAGTAGCCACATCAGTAACTGCAGATATTTTATTACATCTAAATCTAAGAAATCCTACTATGAAATTATACATGTGGCACTTCCAATATCAAGTGCTGCAATTAGCACGTCAGTGTACTGAAGAAAGCTTTGAGTATGATTTGTCACTGAAGTAATACAGTCTGTGAAGTATTAGCAACCCCATATGCAATCATAAAATTATTTTAACATAATTGTAAACATTTTTTAAAAATCAGAAAAAATTACCCTCAAACAAGGGACCACTCCAGAGGATTCTTCACGAACAAGAGAAGAAAGAGTCAACAGTCCTGCACAGAAATGATCTGCTCATGATCTGAAGGCCACCTTCGTTTACGTGCTTGAAGGGAACATATAAACAGAAGGAGGAACAACTGATTACGAGGGTGGATAGCAGTAGGACAAAGGGAAATGGTTTTAAACTGAGACAAGGGAGGTTTAGATTAGATATTAGGGGGAAGTTTTTCACTCAGAGAGTGGTGACACACTGGAACAGGTTGCCCAAGGAGGTTGTGGATTCCCCATCCCTGGAGGCATTCAAGGCCAGGCTGGATGTGGCTCTGGGCACCTGATCTGGTGGTTGGTGACTCTGCACACAGCAGGGGGTTGGAACTGGATAATCATTGTGGTCCTTTTCAACTCAGGCCATTCTGTAATTCTGTGATACCTGCAAGACACAAAACAGCCACTGCTGCCAACAATAGGCCAGAAGGGTAGGTGATTCAGGTGCAAATTTCCTGCATTTAGGTCCTGCCATCACACAGGCCAGAGATTTTAAGCTGTCATTGGAAAACATAGGGAAGCATACTGTTCCTATGAAGGGTATTAGAATCAGGGCAACTCAAAGCAGAAGTTGAAGTGTCACTAATGTCATTTTACCTATGCTTCATATGACTCACATGCTTCCTACCTTAGTTAAGCAAGCCTCTCTCACAACCGAAGTCCTCCATGTAATTCTCCAAGTTGCTCACATAAGTTACTCATTCTCTGGACAAGTTTGTGCATGGCACTAGGCTTCATTTTGTAGAGCAGCCATAGGAGAACATGAATCTGTGAATTTCTTGAGGACTACTGAATGCCTTAGATAGAGCCCACCTTACTACAAACTGCTTAATATTTCTGGAAGAAGAGTTCTCCTGAGGCCATGGTAGAGAAGGATATGTAAAGGAAAAATGCAAATGGTTCCTAAAGCATGTTTCACCCTATCCTGGGAATTTAGTTCATCGTAAAATAAGACAATACTCACAAATCCTGATAAGAGTGTTTCATGACAAATGAAGGTCATTCTTTGGTATTTGCATGAGGGAATGAAGCAACATAAGAAGGCAACACATAATTTTGAGTGTTTGGACCTCATTAATTCATGTGTGCCTCTTGAAACTGTACAATGCTTACCCTATGAAAAGCTGTTTAAGTCACACACAAGGATTTGCACAGAGTTCAATGCTTGTTGTCAAACTGAAGAAGTGTTCTACTTTCGGAAGAATTAACTTTGCCTCTCAAAAAACAGATGTGGATCTGCAAAATTGCTTAAGGACAAGTTTCTTTCCTTTTCTTTATCATAAATCACAATTGCATTATATAGCCATCATTTTACTTAAACTGAGTCCCTTTTCATGGATTCTTCAAAGAGGAATGTGTGGATTGTAATGAAATAGCTGTGATACTATGAACATACAAGAAATACTTTAATTGGACATTGTTAATAACTGTTCCAAATGTTCTGCATTATATTAGCATGTAATCGGTTTTGATCAGTCAGTTTTCATCCATAAGAGAATACTGAATTAATTTTTGACTTTGAAACATTATCTCAATTTTTATTACTCCAAAGAAAAACTGCTACTGTTATAGCAGCCACAAATAAACACATTCTCAGAGTGAAATATTTTTACTTACAAATGTTTGTATTTTGACCATGCTTTAAAAAGTACAATTAAAAATTAACTACAAATACCACAGAAAGGGACGAAGTAACAATGAAGATGTGTGCTCACTCGCTTAATCTTTGCATGGCTAATAAAGAATCTGACCTCAATATTCACTGATATCAACAGGAATTTGTTCCATAATGTTGAATCGAGCTCCAAATATGTCGTTCAAGATCTCACAGATGAAAAGCTGAGTCACTGTGAAAGGGAAACATTTAGAGTCACTGGAGTAAATCAAATAGGGCACATGTTATGGCCCTTCAGATAACATCCTCTTTTCACCTAGATGCCACATCATAACCTACAATGGAAAGTACATTGCTAATAATCTGGAACTATGGCAGTCATCCATTCATCACGTTATTCAGATAATACTTGGATCTAACTGCTGAATGAAAACAATGAATCAAACAAACAAGCAGAAACACCCAGCAAAGGAAATACTGCCATTGGCCACCTACTAAGAAAGAGAAGTTCTAAGGTTTAGTGCCTGTGACCCTGTGTGGGACTTGGTTCAGGAGTTGTACCTCTCCATTCTCTGACACAAATGAGATACTTTCCAGTTTTTTCCCTGAGGTTATCAAGTCCAATTATCCTTGTATCATAAATGAAGTCATCAAAATAGCAGATTTGGTGCAAGAACTACAAGCGGGTCTCTCTCCATTGAGATGCAGGTCTATACCTAAGGAGCAGTGTGTGTGTGTGTTAAGAGTAACTCCTTTTGTGCCAAATGCAGGCAGCATTGGTCTCACCATGAAAGCATGATGACATTGCCTACTTTACAGTATTCCCAGTCACAAAATAATCTTTCACCAGATAAGAAAATCAAACCACAGCCTTACAGCCTGTCTAATGTATCCCTTCGTCTTGGGTGCTAACCCTGAAGGCAGGGAAATATGTATAGATTTTAGTTAGGAATCTGTGAAAACAACAGCAAAGATTATTCATCACAGTTTTAATCAATCCACAAGAGTTCTACACTTAGTGGAGTTTCTTTATCAGTCTTTTTGAAGATATGTGTAAATGATTCACCTGAAGAATCTTTATGCTGGCTCGTTTTACTGATGTGTATTTTCAGTGTGCTCCCAAAGGCCATATCAGTCAGAACATTCGATGGGACAAGGAGGAATTGCTGGAAGCAGCAGAGCTCACTAGTGACCCTGTATCACGGTTATTAGGATCCCGGCAGAATAACTCAAGTGAGGATAGGAGCTGAATGAAAGAAGGACCTGGTTTACCCTGGTGCTAAGAAATGACTGACCTTTGAACAGTTAATCTGCTGGTAGTGAGTGTACCAGAATAGGCCTGAAGTAAAGATAACAATAAATGAGGCCCGGGGATGACAGCCAGAACCAGAGTCCTAAAGCATGTATCTGCTGAGCAGAGCCAAGTAAGTCATGAGACTGTGCTTCTGATCAAAGGCCTCCAAGAGGGCTGCAGCATTCCTTGGCATGTTCAGGAGATCTCAGGGCTATTTTTGACCACCACTATGAGCTGGCCAGCCAATACATTCTGCAGATGGACAGATGATCACATCTTGTTGCCAAAAAGTCTTAAGAGATTTACAAACCTTCTCTTAAAGAGAACCACGTTATTTCTAAGCTCTCTCTGTGGAAGCAGCGTCTCAGCACAGGGTGAGCTCTGACAAGTGTCTAGCAGGAGATGTGGCCCTTCGGTTCACTTCTCAAAAGGCAATGCAGAGCCTATGCTGCTCTTTTGACTGAATCAGGGGACACCAGAAAGTCATCCATATGCCCAAGAAAGGATTGTGTCAAGACCACTGCGGTGCCTTTGTCATGGATGAGGTCTGGTTCTCAGCACAGGCATGCTATTTTGTAACATCTCAGGCAAACACAAATCTGTTCAAATTTGAAGGGGTGCTTGCCAAAGAGCTGAAGTAGTACTCGGAGTAACACTCTTCTGTCAGCAGAAAATCAAAAACGTAGATATTACACCTTCTGAGCATCCTTTTTAGCACTCTGAAACATAATTTCACACAGGAGGATGCCAGGGAAGTGGTGAGAAAACAAAAGAAGCTACAAACCAGAGCTTTGCTAGTCTCTGGTGGAAATGGTTTTCATGTCAAATGACATAAGCATTAAACATGACTCATTGCTGCCATTTCTCTCTGTCCGAAAGAGAGAAATGTATACTCTGTGGTCAAGGCAGAGTGTAATAGGATGGTAGTTATTAGGCACACCAATCTGATACCAGTGCAAACAAGCTGTTAGAGTTCTATAAAGGCATCTCTCCATAATGCATTTTACATGTGCATAGCATTCTATGAAGAACTTTTAGCCAGTGTGAGTGTACTGATATTTCAGGAACAAAAAGCAATACTCCTGGAGCTCTCCTGAAACCCTGCATCTGAAATTTAAAAGAAAAAAAAAAGTAATTCTGCTTTATTTTCCTCCTTTATTTCTTGCCAAGTGTCAGTTATGACTGTCAGCTTGATGCAAAGACAAGTTTAGATTTGGGGTGTCTATTATTTAGACATAAAAAAGATGAGGGAGAAGAACCTACAAATGTGTATACACGTAAGATATGGCTTTTCTTTTTGAGAGCGTGGCCCTGTACAAAGTTGGCTGCTTAAACTATGAGCTAAGTGGGCCAATCCTGAGCCATGGTAATATTTTCAGCAAAGCTCCACCAGTTCACCAATGCCAAGAATCTGGCTTATTGTCTGCCTTTCAATCTTACCTCATTGTCTGTGAGCTTTGACTTCAAGTGTAGTGTACTTCAGTAACTCAGTCAACAGAGGGAAGTAGATGGCAAACATTCCCTCCCAGGGACATGGGCTCACTTTCTGTCATTTAATGATGTGAGAGCCAGCACTGATGCAAATCCTCGAGCCAGCAATGCTCTGTTTTGCCATCAGGCTTCCTCTATAGTCAAGGCATCATTGCCACTTCACATTCAATGCCTCATTCAAGTGGCATGATTCATTTTCAACACCGGTAGTGTACATGGTTTGAATCGTATCTCACTTTTTCAATGATTTGTCCAGAACGAAGCATCTGCTAAGAAAAAAATCTAACACTGGTCTTTTTCTGCTCCTCCTGACACCTTAGAGACACACACGTCTTCAAACTCTAAGGTCACACCATGTCATCCCCTGCATGTGATGCGCAGGCTGTTATCTCTGAGATTAGAAGAGAAAGTTCAGCAGCCAAGAGAAGGATCTGCGGTGATGCCCACAACTGCTGTTACTTTTTATATACATTTGCTTGTAAGCCAGCAGGACTCTGACAATTTTCAGTGTTTTACTTTTCAGATTGGGTTTGCAGTACAATTTTTCCATTTTTAATAAGAGTTAAAACCAATAATTATAATAAAAATAAAACCAACTATTTAATCAGCAGAAACACAAACTTTTTGGTATAGGTGTTTGCAGAAGCGAAGCATTCTTGTTTCATAGAGATGCCA